CAATTTTTTCGCTGTCTTATAGGAATCGTAATTATAGGAACTCGTTTTATATGGGTCTACTGTACAAATATTATTCATGGAAGTGATAGTAAATTTTGGAATCTTGGATTTTGTCAAATTTATTGACCTGCACGTGTTGAAGTATGTGAACTATTTTAATAGAAAATAAATTAAAAGAATTTCAAATATTTTTGAAAAAATATTGTATGCATAACATCGAGCAGAGCTGCCGTCATGAAGAAAACGATTAAATTACTCAATAAAAACCATCAGTTATGTATTTTACATGGATTGCAAATTGCAATTATAAAAGTTTTTTACAATATAAGCACATCAGATGTACAGGACGATGATAAATATAATGCTAATTCACTACTTACTACAGATTCTTAGTTAGATTTTGATACTTCGGACATTAAATACGATAATTTTAGAATAAACCAAGAAACTACTTCTACAAAATGCAGAATTAAATTCTTTAATTACAAAAATACGGCAGATCGTAAAACGTTTTAGAAAATCGCCAACAAAAAATACATTACTACAAAAATATATCATAGAAATTATTGAAAAAGGACTTTCTTTAATTTTAGATTGTAGAACCGAGCTTAAAGATGCTGGAAAGATTTTTATTACTTAAAGATGCTGTCCAAAAAAGTCTAATAGATTTGAAACTGGACTTAGATTTCAATGACAGAGACATAAAATTACTATCAATTATACTCTTAAGCCTGCAATCCATTAAGTTCGACGTAGAAACACACTGCAATGATAAAACTAGTTTATATGTAGCCGATGTTACTTTGAAATTTATGTTGAATGAATTAACCAACCAAAACACTTTTTAATAATTTAACTAAAAAAAATATTAATATATAGCATGAAGTAAAAAAGAGACTGTTAAATCAGACATATTACACTATTTGACAGAAAGTATTTCAACAATGCTTTTGATTATTGTTGATAGTAGTCAGAGTCACTGAAATGATTTTGATTTAAATTCCAATTCAACGTCAGATAACGAAAATATTGATACTTCTACACCTAATTTCGAATTATCAATGAAGCAGAAACTCTATGACCTTATCAAGCAAAAAACAGAATGTGAAGAAGTGTCAGTTCCACAAGCAAAAAACACGAAAGATTGGAATCAAATACTGTAAAGCCTCGATTATCCGACTCAATTGGGGACTGAAGTTGGTCGGATAATTGAGAAGTTGAATAACCGAAAAGTTTGAAAAAATCCATTATTAGTGTAATATATTATTATATCCCATGTAATTAGTATATTAGTATATCGCTATTAACCTACTTTGCGTTGAATTTTTTTCCATGTTAAGCCTAACAAAAATTTTTTAAAAAAATAATCGTCGCTATTGTATCGTTAAAAATTAGAAAATTAAGCCTCGTTAAATACTGGCTCCCTTTCATGGTCGAGCCATGTTGCCAGCTAAAACACGTAAAAATAATATTAAAGTCGCCAAGACATAGCCAAATATTGTAGCGCCACATCACTAGCGGACATTTGAAATTTGCGGACTAGGACGGTCGGTTAATCCGAGGTGTCGGTTAATCGAGGCTCTACTGTAGTAAAAAGAGAATTAGAATACTTCCGACGAGAAACAGTACGGGGAGAGTATATTCAAATAGTATTTGATTATTTAATAGCAATTCGTACAAGTGTTGAATCAAAAAGGGTATTCTCAGGATCTGGATTATTTTGTACAAAAGTTAGGTCAAAATTAGGAGATAAGACTATAAATAATTTAAGTTTCATGAAAAGTTAATTTTTAAAAAATAGTAATCAATAAAATGGTATTAGGTATATAAGGGTATATTTTTTTTATTTTGAGACATTAAAATAACTTAATTAGATCTCATTATTTTGAAAAAAGATATAGACAAAAGTTGTAGGGTATCGAGGAACTAATCAATTGGTGACCTCATATGTTACATTTACCTTGACCTTCAAGGTCGTTTAGAGATCAGGTCTGTTTTTTTTTTTTTCAATGGGAACATATATTTTTGACTCTGGAAATGGAAAGAGCAGGAAATTTCACAATCGGATGTTTTTTTGACCTTATTGTCTAAGTCAAAGGTCAAGATTATTTTAAGGTTAAAATTATAAGCTTTTTCTAATGGGAAATCATACTTTTTATTACTGAAATAGGCAGGAAGGTAAAAGTTATATTTATATGGAAAAAACGGGAAATTTCACAATCAGCCATGACCAAATTTTATAGTACTCCAAATTTTATTTCTGAAGGTCATCTTAAGTCTGATAATTGTAAGCGTGGCTCAATAAATGCATTAATATCAAAGAGCATCATTTTGAACATTTGTTATAAAATTTTCCTCAAAACCAACATCTCAAACAATGGTAAAAATTAAAGTGACTCACCAAAAACAAGGTGGATAATAGTGAATGGCAAGGAGATTCACTAAAAATAAGCACCTCAAAGAGAGCAGAAAACTACCACATCCACACTGTTATTCCTTGGTAGGGCAAAAAGTAGTGAATGTTTTTAAAATTCAAAGTAATAAGCTCATGAAAAAATGTAACTTTTACCTCCCTGCCTATTCTAGTAATAAAAAGTATGGTTTCCCATTAGAAAAAGCTTATAATTTTAACCTTAAAATAATCTTGAATGTTGACCTAGACAATAATTTTAAAGGTACCAGTACATTCAATTGTGAAATTTCCTGCTCTTTCTATTTCTGGAGTAAAAAATATATGTTTCCATTGAAAAAACAAAGTTGACTTTCAAATGAAGTCAAGGTCAAGGTCAAGGTCAAGGTCACATATGAAGTCAACAATTGATTGGTATCTCAATACCCTACAGCTTTTGTCTATATCTTTTTTCAAAATAATGAGATCCAATTAAGTTATTTTATTGTTTCAAGATAATAAATACACCCTGTATATTATTTCTGTTGTGTTTTTAATTTTCTGTAATATTTTATTTCTGTTTCTAAAAATTATTATTATAGTTTGTTTAGAATAACACTTTAATTTTTTTTATATTTTTTTATATTTGATATCTTTGATATAAAAAAATGTGAAATAGAAATCAAAACAACTTATATTTTTATCACCTTCATTTTATTTTTCTAGAAAAAAATTTACTGGTAATTTACCAGTAGACCGGTAAATGAAAAAGTCGGTAAATTTACAATCCCTAATAAGAGTGTTTTATTATGTTACAGTTACCGAGGTGGATGACAGTTTTGTGCTGATTGCCAGTTGGAGAATTACTGATTCCAATAAATGTGTAGAAAAGCGAATGGCAGACACGTTTGCTGCAGCCGGGGTGTCAATCACCTTGACGTCAATTACTAATTTGTTTTCGTATTTTGTTGGAATGACAGCACCAATCCTTCTCGTAAAAATCTTTTGCATTTACTGTGCAACCTGCATATTCTTCACTTACGTATTTCAAATAACCTTCTTCGCTGGATGTATGGCGTTGAGTGGGTACAGAGAAGAGAAAAGTCTTCATCCGATTACTTTTAAAGCGTGTGGTAATTTTCTAAACTTATCAGTTTTAGATTATAGTTAATTGTGGTACGTTAGTATACGATTGCGAGAATACAAACGAGGGTCAAGGCCCTCTAATCGTCAAATCTGAAGGATCTGCTCACTTTGTCACTGGATGGCTTATTTTAACAGAATCCGAGTGGTAAAATGTGTGGGGTTCGGTTGTGCATAGTCAATAAATACTAGACTAAGAAGGTCATGTAATATAAAAATCAACAATTTAATCACAAAAGACCAAAATAACAAGGATAAGTAAATAAACAACAAAACAAAACATATGGTTAAACTAAGACTATAATCCGTATGAGAAAGAAAGTTTACAATAAATCATATTACCGCTGTTTGATGGTAAGGCCGTAGCATGTTCCCTCAGTGGCCAGAGGAGTATGCTGGACGAGTCGATATGGCATAATCTGCCGGTCCTATGTCAGGTCCTTAATGTTGATCGTGCATTTAGTTGTGGACTGCCTCGAGGGTGGGGAAACCCGCACTTTTATTACCGAATATTTCACAATCCGTTTACTTAGAAGCGCATCATCTGACGGGATGCTTAGTCGTGTCATTCGGACAGGTGTTTGGGAAAATTTAAGATAAGAGGTGGAGGAAAGAAGCAAAATATCCTCATTTCTCCATAAACGTTGCGTTATAGAGAAAGCTGTCAGGATGTTGAAATTTTGTAACCTTTTTAGGTTATATTAAAATATTTAGAAAGCGATAAAAATTGGAATAACTTATATGAAAATTAAGTTAAATTAATTAATATGGGTTTATTGGAGGAGGGAATTTGTAAATAAGATTGGGGATTCATCCAGATTATCACACGATCATTTTATTGACAATTCCTTTTGTCAAATATTTAACGTCATTTCCCGTAATCTTCGGCATAAATATGTGTATTGTTAGCATACAGGTCTACATTATATGTTTTAGAAACTGTTCTGTAATGTAGAGCATGATTCTACTTACGAATTATATTAATTATATTTAGAGTTAAGACAAAAGCAACTAGAATTATCATCTAATTTTTACTTTCTAAAAATTTTGTTTAAAAATGTGATTACAATAATCATTAAGTTAATTTAATACAATAAAACGTTTTCACGTTTGTCAATCTTTAGTCAAGATGTAAAGATGTCATTGGTTTAAATGAATATATTATTCACATAATTTCCATATTCATTCTTTTTCAGCACAAGAAGTAGAAGATTTTCAAGGAATCGAAAAAAATGAAGAATGTTCAATGAGAATAATTAGAGATAAACTGGGAGTCATTCTCTCCTATACACCAACGAAAGCGATTGTATTGATTCTGTATTTAATCAATTTAGGGTGCGGATGTTTTGGAGTGTGTTTTATAAAACAAGGATTAGATTTTCAGAATATGTATCCATCCGATTCAGAAATATATCAAAGTTCTCGAATATATTACGAATACTTTACCGAATACTCTTTTCCTGTTCACATAATCATTAACAAAACACTCGATTATTCAGACGAAAACGTTCAGAAATCAGTGGAAGATCTCCTTAGAAGATTTGAATCTCATCCTCACGTTGCCGATTCTCGCTTAACTGTTTCTTGGCTAAATTATTACAAAGTATTTCAGACAAATCCATTTGCAAAATACGCATTGAGAGGTTACAACATGTCGAACAAAGATGATTTCATGGAAGGACTTCGATTTTTTCTACGATTTAAACTAGCCCAGCGATTATCAAACGATTTGATATTCAGCCCGGATGGATCCGAGATTACATGCAGTCGATTTTTTGTTCTCACGAAAAATATACATAACAGAGAAATTGAGATTGCTACAATGAATGATTTTTTTAAAATTGCAATTGAAGCACCTTTCCCGGTTATTATTCATTCTGTAATTGCAAGTCTAGTAGAACAAGGACTAATCATCGACGACTTAGCTAAACAACTGTTTTGGATGACTGGGTTATTGATCGCAATTATTTTTTTCTGTGTGATTCCGAACATATTCTGTTCTCTTGTAGTGGCAGTTTGCGTTGTTTCTACCACGATAGAAACGTTGGGTTACATGAGCTTGTGGGGAGTTAACTTAGATATATTATCTTTAATAAGTTTGATTCTGTGCGTCGGATTTTGCGTTAATTATCCGGCTCATATTGCGTATGCTTTTGTAACGTCAAATTGCAAAACGTCGAAGGATAGAATGAAGGATTCGTTGTATCATGTTGGCTTTCCTATAATTCAAGGAACTTTGTCGACTATTATAGGAATACTTTTCATATATAAAGATTCGTACGCAGTCCTTACATTTCTGAAAGTTGTGTGTTTACTCACAATGGAAACTGCTTTTCACGCTTTATTTTTTACTCCAGTTGTTCTTTCGTTGTTATATTCTTTCGTTTGTTTCAAACAAAAGGCAAATTTTACAGAAGTAACAGAGAGATTTGTTGAATTAAATATGGATCAGAAATAACTGATTTTTAACTTGTACCGTATTATATGATTAGAATATAACGGTTATATTGTTTATTTAGTCTAGACAACAACTTATATTATTTTTTCGAATATTTGCCATTATTCTGTTATAGGAATTATAGATATAATGTTATAATTTTGTTATCATATATTAAATGGTCTGTTGTTACTCGTTTCCATTTATATCATGTAATTTAACCTGTATTTTTTTTTACATAAAATCTGAATAAATGCATATAATTAATTATATTTATTGTGTTTTAGTTCACTTAAATGTTTCACATGTACTTTTCATCTGTTTAACTTTGCGTACAAATATTTATAATTAAAATCGCGTTCATATAGTTTTTCGTTGTTAGTTTAGTTTTTCCAATCACTTTTCAAGACGTCTATTTATATAGAAGTATTACGGTGAAAGCCCGGACTTGAGAAAAAACAATTTTTAGTAATAAATCTTTTTAAATTAAATAATGTTAAAATTTTCTTATCGAAAAAAAATATAGCCTATATATAGTAGCAAGTGGGCCCGGCGTTGATCGGGCAAATGTAACGATAACTAAGATAAAAATTATTACGTCACAGTCAACCTTACCCGTTTTCACAGAGTGCAAGAATTGGGTCCCTTTGTTTCCAGACTAATTAGAAAATTTTCAGATGGGTCTAAAAATATGTTCGATTTCCCTCAAAAACGAAAAAACTGCATCTGCGTGTTGCACGTTGCTCTTAACAATTCGATTGCCTTAATCCTGTCTCTCACCCCCGTGGGGAGGAATTTCGAAAAATCCCTTCTTATTGTGCGTTTTCCTAACGTACCCTAACTGTGTACCAAATTTCAACTTTCAACTCCTAATTGTTTGGGCTCTGCGCTTATTATTATTAATTATTATTATCAACCCGTTTCGATTATATATTGGACTAGCTGCAAGGACTCGCTTCGCTGAGTTTTTATTTGTGAGCAAAAAGTAACGATAGTGAAAATTCAGATAATTACATTATAGCCAATCTTACCCGTTTTCACAGAATGCAAGAATTAGGTCCTTTGTTTCCAGACTAATTAGAGAATTTTTACGTCCAGTTAAACGAACTATTTTCCATTTGATCAATTTTCTGGAACGTTTACAATTGTTCTATAAACGAACCAATTCGAATTNCCCATATCTCCCGCACCCTTATAGCTATCGAGACGCAACCACCATAGTGCACGAATGGAGACTTGGGGCTACTACCACATACGAACACCATTCATGTGCGATGTGTAGTTTTGGCGGAAAAGTGAAATATAGTAAAAAAGTGAAATAAAGTGAAAATAGTGACATGTACACACAGGTCCATATGGACCATATATATATATATATAACCCATTCAATGGTGTCCGTCCGCGTAACCGTTTGATAATGGACACTAGAGGCGCCCCTATCGTGTGTCATATTTCAAACATTCAAATTAACAATTTTCAATTGTGATTTAAATTAACAATATAAATTATTATAATTCATTTGGTCCATACATTATTATTTGGTCAATATAACAATATAAATAATTCAGTATATTTGTAATAGGAATTTATTATTTTAGGAGCTTATATCTCGCAAACGGTCGCGAGTAGGGGTATGGTTCCTTTGACTTTATTGTTGGTACAGGGGTATACGGTTTGGGGGCTCGCTACGTCTTCATTCGGAGGGTAAATCTTACCATTCGGACTTTAACAGAGCTGTAGAGCATATTGATAGGAACAAAAAAGTCAAAGGAACCGTGCCTCATGGAAATTTGTATAGAACGCCCACTAGGGGGCGTCCGGAGCTACTAGTATATATATATATATTTAATTGTTGAAGGATATAAAATTATTATTGTATCTCTCAATAAAGATATGTTTAAATAAACCAATCGATGTCGGAATGAATATATTAGATTTTCTGCCGTTAGTGCACTTGGTAACCTCTTCTTTCATGTTTTGCAACCGTGTCGTATCGTTGTTTTATAAACGCAATGTAGCGTAATAACGATCACTTGGCACTATTCATTCTTTTATTTCAATATTCGTTGATACACGTTCTTACACAAGTTTCGGGCTTCATTTCGGTCCTCTTCAGTCAACTAAAACATGTAAAACCAATTTTACATACACAACAATTCGACGTATGAATTTAAAAAATAATGAATTATACAAGTAGCACTTAACATACCTTTAAAATCACAAATTGCATCTTTAGATGTGTATTACCACAAACGATAATCATACGATATATATTAGATTATTCCAAATACCAGGCCAAAGACTTGGTACATACAAGACCCAGTCTTTCGCAGTTAGGCTTTTGTGTCCGTAGGGTCGGTGTCTCTTCGACACCGCGTCAGGATGTGACACCACCGAGTCTCGCAGGACTCGGAAATCGCGACTTTACGTCACTCGAGCGGTCGCGGGTAGGCGGTTGGATTCGGAGTAGAGGTGAGGAGAGAGAAACTAGGAAGTGATTCACTCGGATTCCATATTAATAACAATAAAAATATATTTTAACGGGCAGGAATACACGATATATGCGAGAGACAGAGTTTACAAACGACTCGCGTGTGGATAATACCTTATAAAGAAGTCGAGGATGGATGACTCGATGACTTCAACACGGGATTTTTCGAGTTTTTACTCGAATTGTTCGGGTAATAGGTCTTCGGAGGGAGGTATCCGACAGGTTTAAAATAAATCAAGAACTTGAGCGTGATATGTATCCGTATGTTGATATCGACAGAGGCACAGTATTTTAGCACACTTTGGAGGCGACTTTTGTAAACGAACTTTAGAGGACGATTGAAGCATTTCTAATATTTGGTGTTACATTGAGAATTACATGTTTAAGAGGGGGTTGCCGTTTGGGTGGAAGCTATGGTTGATCTTAATTTCCCTTTTATACACTTCTTGAGTTGTTTGTTCTTGTAATTGCAAATTTTGTTCGAAGATGTTCTCAGTTAGTTCGTTGTCCTCGGTGCGTGCGGCACGTTGAGTAATATTACCTTCGGTTGTCTTTTGTTCCGTTGTGACACTTTTATTTTGTTTGTGAGTTCCTTATTGTTCTGTATTGCGGATTGTAGCATTTTAACGTTTTGGTCCTCGCACATCCGAATAGCTAACTCCCCACTTAGGAGGGGTCTTACTTGATTATTCCTTATGCCTAATTTTCTAGGGTTTATGTGCTCCTGTATTAGGCTCATCGTTTTTTCAGCAATAGGGTGTGGGACCCCCTGGTTTGGTGAGCTGTGACAAGAAGGCTGTGATTTCCTTTTGCAGGGTTTTTTATTTAGCTTAGCTGAGTTTGCAGTTATGAGTTTAGTGGTGTCACTCATTGGACGCAGGTTCTTTCTCAGGATGTCGAAGTAAGTCCTTTGGACAGGCTGGGCTTGATTTGGCTTCTTCATTCACCCTTTCACGCAGAGCCAGAACCACACCGAATATCTGATTAGCAGCTGCGTGCATCTTCACTGCAGCTTCCCGAGCCTGGTTACGATCTGCAACTTTGATAGAGGAGAAATGACTGAAACAAAGAATTTTTCTTTGTAAAAAAGTTGTAATTATATTTATTAT